CCCCCCCCCCCCCCCCGGACAATCCAGATGTTGGATAACAGAACCAGAAGAGTTAATTACACCCCTTTTCAAAGACACATTTTTCACACTTGTCAACATGTTTTGGCTTGAAGTGTACGCCTGTGCAGAAAGGCTTGAGAAACCCCTCGTTTCCTTTTTTGTTTCCAAGCAGCCAGACTTTCTTGTAACTTTTTTAAAAGTGGTCTTAATCAACAGTCTCTAAAAGTTGTTCAAATCAAGTCAACTTTATTTGTAAAACACATAAAAATAACAAAGTTGACCAAAATGCTATACAATGAATCTGTAAAACAGAGGAATCGCATTTCCTTCAAAAATGCATTGTGAATGCTTATTGCCAAAGAACTTGCTGAAATTAGCTAAAAACATGCTGAAATGTAGCTGAAATGAAGAACTAGCCTAAATTAGCAGGAGAAAGCGGAAATAACACATATTTGCCGAATTAGGTTTAAATAAGCAGAAATGAGCCCCCCTCAAAAAAAGAGTGAAATTAGCTAAAAAAGCTGAAATTTGCAAATAGCTGAAAAGTAGCTGAAAAATCAGAATGTAGCTTAAACAACCAGAATGAAGTGGAAAGAGCTGAAATAAGTTAAAAAAAAGATGTATTGGTTGAAAAAGCAAAAAAGTTGCATAAAACGGCTAAATAGTAACTGAAATAGTAGAAAAAGCTAAAACTAGCAGAAAAAAACTGAAAAGAGCATAACAAGCTGAAATGCGCAGAAAAAAGTTAGAAAAAGCACAAAAATATTGTAGTTAGCAGAAATAATCTAAAAGTACAAAACAGCTGTAAAAAAACAGCTGAAAGTAGCTGAAACAAGTTTTAAATTTGCACAAGGAAGCTGAAAGAAGCTAAAGCAGAACAAAATGTGAAAGGAGCGGTCAAAGGTTGTAAACGGATCTAAAGATGTGAAGGATGTAAAATGAGCTCAATTCATTTTTCAATGTGAAAAAAGTGGCAGAAAAGGCTAAATATTTGAAAAAGCTAAAGTGGCACCAATACCAAGTTGTAACAGGATTGTCCCGAAAGAGCTGAACATTTTTATTATGATTTGTTGAAATAGTGGTAGCTAAAAAACTGGGATGAGAATTGCGTTAAAAAAAGTATGGAAGAAAAATGGATTGCAATAGTGTGAATGCTTCAGACGCTTCATAAGTTTTAAGCTACTTTTTGCCTTTTCAGCTACTTTGCAGCTATTTTTTTTTTGCTAATTTCCGCCCTTTTTTTTTTTTTAGCTATTTTTCTAATTTTTGTGCTCATTTTGACTTATTTAAACGTAATTCAACAAATACGTGCTCTTTCTGCTTTCTTCTGCTAAAGTAGCTTGGTCTTCCATTTCAGCTACATTTCAGCATGTTTTTAGATATTTTCAGCTGTTTTTCAGCAAGTTCTTCAGCAATAAGCATTCACCACACTGCATTTTCACAGGATAGGCAATTCATCTAGTTATTACAACATTTCAACTTGGATTATTCTCTGAGTCATCCTTGCTCTCCTGTTTCTTCTGTCTTCTTTCAGGTCAGATTACAGCTCCTGCCAGTCTGACTGCAGAGGCAGGACATCCCATTGTGCTTAGCTGCAACATCACCACGGCGACGGGCGACACCGTTCGCCAAGTGCGCTGGCTCAACAAGCACTCCAAGTTGCTCCTGGCCTATGAGCAAAGAGTGCCGGTCCGTATCAGCTACCAGGAGCCCAACGTGAAGCTCACTGCCTCCAACAACAATGGCAGCTACATCACCATCAAGAAGGTGCATCCAGCTGACGATGGCTGCTACCAATGTGTGTTTGACGTTTTCCCCAGCGGGCAGAAAAATGGCTCGACCTGCGTCAGCGTCACTGGTGGGGGCTCAGTGTTTTCACCTGCTGTATTTGTGTTTTAAATTGGAGAAATTGCTTTTCCTGCAAAAATGCAGTGTGAATGCTTATTGCTGAAGAATTTGCTGAAAAATTGCTGAAAATAGCTAAAAACTTGCTGAAATTGAAGAGCAAGCTTAAATTAGCAGAAGAAAACAGAATGAACATATCTGCTAAATTTGATTTTAAATAAGCATAAATGATCACAACACTTAGGGAATTAGCTAAAATAAAAAAGTAGCTGAAAAGGCAGAAAGAAGCTTAAAAATCCAGGAGGAAGTGGAAGGAGCTGAAAGTATCTAACAAAGTGGAATTATATGAAAAAGCTATATTTAGCACAAAACGGCTAAAAAATAGCTGTAAAAGCTGAAAATAGTAGAAAAAAGCTGAAAGGAGCTGAAATTAGCAGAAAGAAGATGGACTGAAAGTAAGAAATTACCACAAAATACTTGCCTTTATCTAAAAACAGCTGAAATAAGCTGTAAAATGCTTTTAAAAAGTAGCTGATAATGTAGAACAAGCTTAAATTAGCAGAAGAAAGCAGAAAGAACACAATTGCCCATTTAGACTGAAAGAAGCAGAAATGAGCACTAAAAAGTGAATATTATCTGAAAAAGATGAAATTGGCAACAACAAAAAAAACAACCTGCTGAAAAGTAACTAAAGTTTTCAGAAGGAAGAGGAGAGCACATTTTCACTGAATTAGGCTGAAAAAAGTTGAAATGAATGCCAAAAATGTGGAGTTAGCCAAAAAAGCTAAAACTAGCATAAAACAGCTAATTAGTAGCTGAAGTAACAGGAAAAAGCTGAAACTTGCAGAAAATAAGCTGAAAGGCTCATAACAAGCTGAAATCAACTGAAAGTTGCAGAAAAACTGAAATGATCTAAAAACAGCTGAAATTAATTAAAAATACTAAAGGTAGCTGAAAAGTTAAAACATGCTTAAATTAGCTTAGAAAGCAGAAAGAACGTGTTTGCCCAGTTAGGCTGAAAGAAGCAGAAATTAGCACTAAATAGCTGAAATTGGCACCAAAAAAACCCCCAAAACGGCTGAAACGTAGCAATAAAGGCAGAAAAAAGCTAATTACCAGAAGGATGTGGAGAGAGCACATTTTTGCCAAATTATGCTGAAAAAGTTCAAATGAGTGCAAATAACGTGGAATTAGCCATAAAGGCTAAAATTAGCATAAAACGGCTAAATAGTATGTGAAATCGCAGAAAAAGCTGAAACTTGCTTAAATAAGCTGAAATTAGCAGAAATTGGTTACAAGAAGCACAAAAATGTTGTAGTTAGTAGAAATAATCTAAAAGGAGCAAAAAGCATGAAAAATTAGAGGAAAGTAGCTGAAAAAAGTTTAAATTTGCACAAGGACGCTGAAAGAAGCTGAAGCAGAGCAAAATGTGAAAGGAGCAATAAACGATTGTAAACAGATCTAAAGATTTAAAGGAGGTAAAATGAGCTAAATTTTTTTTATGAGGAAAAAAATGGCCGAAAAGGCTAAATATTTCAAAAAGCTAAAGTTGCACCAAAACCAAAAGTCACAGCAGGATTGTCCTGGAAGAGCTGAACATTTTGATTCATTATTTGTTGAAATGGCGCAAAAATTGTGGAACGAGAAAGATGCTGAAAAATGTATGGAAGAAAAATGGATTACAGTTGTGTGACTGCTTCAGAAGCACGTCCATCCTGCAGAGAGCATTGTTTACTGCGGCAGTTCTGTCCAGCATTAGAAGTCTTGTTTTCCCTCCATGTAGTTATTTAAATACTTTTTTATATTTGTATCCTGATGAGAGGCACCAAGTGTTTGTTTTTTGCTTCAAATGCTTCAAAGCAGCAGGGAAAGTTTGGAGATCAGCAGAAGATAAAACCCACCCACCAAGCTGAACTTGGTGCTTCCTGTAAAATGCTCACACATGGTTATGTTGCTGCTGACTCACCAGCCTTGTAAAGACTTTACTGTAATTTAAGATGCAAGTAGAAAATCACTGTCATCTCTTTTTTTTTTCAGTCTAATGGTAGAAAACTGTCTTTCTCTCAGGTAAAGTGCACCTGGAAGGCAACATAAACAAGACTGTCGTAATCGGGAGGCCCGTCGTTCTGTCCTGCTGGTACAGCCTGGGTGAGAGGGTTCGCCAGGTGCTGTGGAGGAAGACGGCCGAGCAGGGGGACACCACCACGGTCGCCTCCTACGCCAAACACGGCCACCACGCAGAGGAGCTGTTCAAAGGTCGGGTCAGTCTGAGCCGAACTCTGGGAGAAACCAAACTGACCTTCAGTCAGGTCCGCATGGAGGACGAGGCCTGCTACACCTGTGAGTTCCACGCCTTCCCAGATGGCACCAGGAGCGCCACCACCTGCCTGTCCGTTTATGGTGAGGAGATTTTAGATTTTCAACTTGGCTGCTTTGATTTTATAAAAAAAAAAAAGAAGTTAGTTACTGCTTCTTGTAGATATTCACAAATGTAGTCATGGGAACAGTTGATAACGACATTGACTAATAACACTTAACAGGAATAGTTGTGGTCTAGAAGAAAACTTAACTTCTTGCAGTGGCGACGATTACCCTCTTTTTCGGGGTGCTCAAGCACCGCTACATTTTAACTCGGCACCCCTGAAAAATAAACCAGCATTAGGATTTTGTATGGAAACAATTCTCAAATCTTAGATTCACCGAAATATTGTTTAAATATGGAATAAATGTTGACCGCCTTAAACGGGCCAATAATATCAGATTTATTGTTTTTTTTGTTTTTTTGCAAGAGTCGGATCCTCAACGCCACCTGTCAATCAGTCCAGTAGGCTCATCGGCAACTGAACAATCGGCAATCTCAGTTTGTCCTGAAGTGAGATGCCCCTTACCTGCAGGACCTGGGGTTCATGAAGCGGAATGCTACGTATGTAGCATGTTAGCTAACATGTCTGTATTGCACACCGCATTACAGTTGTCAGCAATAGTCAAGATAAGATAGAACTTTATTGATCCAGCAGGAAATTGTTGCGCCAGAGTTTCAGTACAAAGGAACATAACTGGGGATGGAAGGGGGGTGTTAGGATGCATGAGAGAAGCAGAGCGTGTTCTATTCACACAAGGGGAGCTGTTGGTCAGGCTACTTCTTGTTGCTCTCTAAAATAGTTATTGAATCAAGTGTTAACTTATGTAGGTAAACATAGATATTTAACAACCCGTTACAATACACCAGAATACAGGAAATGGCATCTACTTTATTGAAAATTTTATGGGGGAGGATCCCCAGACCCCCCCACCAGTATATTCCCACCTCCAACCCCCCACATTGCAAATGCTTCCGACATCAATGGCCACTGCGTTGTTCAAGCCAATAGCCATAGTCAACACTGGGGGCTAAGCGCCCCTGAAGGTCAGATTCTAGAATCGCCCCTGGCTTCTTGCCACGTTGGGAGGAAGATAAAACGTTGGAAAATAAAACCTCCAGGAAGACGCAACAAACCTTGGAGTGGTGGTGCACTGTTCTGTTTTACAGCCACTTCTTCAAAATATGACCTTCCCACGTCCTCACCACAAGCTTCAGCATCAGCAGTTTGTAAATAAATATCGTGACAAAGTTGATGCGTTAAAAATGAAAAAGATACGATTGCAATGAGCCAAAGCTTTTCTGGAGTAACAGCTGCAGGGAAACGGATGGATTGAGTTTTCTGTGAGCTTGTTTCAGCCAACGTTTCTGAGAATACGTCACAATTGGATGGAAGAAGTTAATTAAATATTAAGTGAATGCTTAAATAAGATACAACAGAATAATTGTATGAAATTCTACAACTGGACTACAGTCTAAACATCTTTAAAAAATGTGAACAGGCATCACAAAGGTAATGAATCAAGAATCTCATAGAATTGTGGACATTAGTGATACAAACAGATAAATAATTGGAAACATTTATTGGAAAGATTTTATTATGAAATATTTAGAAACTATGCTATATGTTGTGTTGAAATTCACATTAGCCTTTTATGCAAAAACACAAAGAAACAATACTTAAAAACGTGTTTTAATGAAATTATCTTCAAAGCAAATTGTTATGCAGTAATAAAACTGTTTTATGTTTATCTCTAGATAATAAATCTTTTGTTGTGATAACTAGATTGTGTGAATATTTATGAAGCATTCACACAATTGTGATCCGTTTTTCTTCTGTGTGTTTTTCAGCATCTTTCTTGTTCCACAATTTTTGTGCTATTTCAACAAATCATAAATCAAAACGTTCAGCTCTTTCAGGACAATCCTGCTGTGACTTTTGATGTTGGTGCAACTTTAGCTTTTTGAAATATTTAGCCTTTTCTGCCACTTTTTCTCATAGAAAATGAATTGAGCTCATTTTACCTCCTTCAAATCTTTAGATCTGTTCGCAACCTTGTATTGCTCCTTTCACATTTTGTTCTGGTTCAGCTTCTTTCAGCTTCCTTGTGCAAATGAAACTTTTTTCAGCTACTTTCAGCTGCTTTTTCAGCTGTTTGTTTTCAGCTGTTTGGCGCTCGTTTCAGGATCTTTATGCTAACTACAACATTTTTGTGCTTCTTGTTACTTCTATCTGCTCATTTCAGCTTGTTCATGCGATTTTTCAGCTATTTCTACAATTTCAGCTATCATTTAGCTGTTTTTACACTAATTTTAGCTTTTTTAGCTAATTACATATTTTTTCAATAATTTGACATTTTTTCAGCTTAATGCAGCAAAAATGTACTCTCTCCACTTCCTTATTGTAATGTCAGCTTCTTTTTTCCTTTTTAGCTCCTTTTCAGCTGGTTTTTTTTTTAAACTAATTTCAGCTTATTTTCAGATAATTTCCATTTTTTAGTACTCATTTTTGCTTCTTTAAGCCTAATTGGGCAAACATGTATTATTTCTGCATTTTTTTTTTTTTTTACTAATTTAAGCTTGTTCTTACTTTTCATCTACCTTTTGTAGGAATTTGTTTAGCTAAGTTCAGCTGTTTTCTGATAAAGGCAAGTTTTTTGTGCTAATTTCTGCTACTTTCAGCGTAATTAAGTTATTTCTGATAATTTCAGTTTATGCTCCTTTCAGATTATTTCAGCTAGCTTTGGCTTTTTCTGCTATGTCAGCTACAATTTAGCTGTTTTGTGCAACATTTAGCCTTTTCAGCTAATTCCACATTTTTTCAGCTCATTTCAGCTTCTTCCACTTCCTTGTTGTTTACGATTCTTTCTTTTCAGCTAATTTTTGCTAATTTCCTATTGTTTTTGCTAATTTCTGCTTATTTAATCCTAATTCAGCAAATGTGTTCTTTCGGCTTTCTTCTGCTAACTTAGGCTTGTTCTTACATTTCAGTTACATTTCAGCATGTTTCTTAGCTAATTTCAGCTGCATTTTGAGCAAGTTCTTCAGCACAAAGCATTCACACTGCATTTTCGCAGGAAATGCAGTTTCTCAAGTTTTATTATCAATAACTCGACAGTAACTAAGTGGAGATCAAAGCAGTTGTGCTAGAAACCAATTGGAACTAAAAATATTACATCAAGGAACTTCCAGAAAAAAAAAAGTACTCTTATATCATCTGGATGGTTTCTTTTTTATGTTCGAGACGCTTCGTCCTTCATCCAAAGGACTTCTTCAGTCCTTTCATTTTGGCATGGCTGCCCCAGAGGCGTTGATACGGGAGAGGGTGGGCCCCAGAAAACATTTTATCACCAGCAAACTGTTTTTTTCTCACTATGGGAAAATGGTGTTTGTGGCTCCTCGGACTGAAGAAGTCCTTTGGATGGAAGCTGAAACGTTTCAGCAAAAATAAGAAACTGTCCAGATGACCTGACTGACCATTGTTGGATTTAAAAAAAAAAACTTTTTTGGATTGAGCATGGACTTTGGTGAACTCATAGATCATCTAGAAGTGCCATGAACATTATACTGAACATCTCCTCCTTCATGTCTCTCTGTGAGTGCAGCTACAGCGTGCGCTCTCAGCACATTATTACCTGCAGTGTTCCCTCAGTGAGGACTGAACTAGGCAAAAGGGCCTTCTACTCCGCTCCTGTTTCCTGGAATATCTTACAAAAAGTTCTGAAGCTCTCGACCTTGACCTCTCTAAGTGGCTTCAAACATCTAAGTTCCTGGCAAGAACCAACAGACATGTTCCTGTTTTTAGTTTTCTACACCGCCGTATAAGCTAGCTGTTTTTTTGTTTGTTTTTATTTTTTTAATGCCATTTTCTGTCACTTGTTCTTCTCAATTAGTATGCTTCCTTTTATGATTGTCCACTGTTGTCATCAGTCTTTGTTAAAATCAGGTCTGTCTTGTAAATGAGTCCCCGAGGCTCAATGGGATTAACCTGTATAAATAAAGGTTGAATGAAAAAATAAAATCAGGTGTACCATAAGAACCGCTGCTTTTTGCACCATAATCCTCTCATGAACACAAATCAGATTGTTTTCTCTGATTGACCTGTTCTTAGTAAAGTTGGCAAAGTTGTCTGGACTTGCAGCACTTAGTATGAGGCTACAATTGACAAAAAGTCCTAACCCTATGCTTTCTTTAATTTGACTGTCTTTGCCCCTTTGTTATAGTCCCTTAATCCAGTTTGGTTTTACACAATTCTGGGATTATATTCCAAATCACAGATATGCTGAAGGCTGTGAGGAAACAATTGGTGTGCTGGTCTTTCATAGCTCAGGAAGCACCAAATATAAGCAAAGCCACAGGAAGGCACGAGGTGAGAGGTTCTACAGTCGGTCATTAAACTACTGTTCTGGCCTGCTCGGCGCTCCTCCGCGACTCTTAACCCCGTCCTATTTTTCTTTCCACTGTGAACACAATGCAAGCCTCACCATTCTCAGACTCAGAAGTTGGAATTGGAGTGCGAGTGGCTTTTTGCTCTTCCTCCGCTGTGTGTGTGTGTTTGCAGTGATAATAAGTGGAGTGTGAAAGTGGTGATTAATTTGGGATGGGTTCCAGAGCAAGAGTGGCTCTCTGTTTCCCAACACACAAAGCCTCACTGTGTGTGTGTGTTTGTCCTTTTTGCACTGCTAAATAGGGTTTGCCTTTGTCTGAACCAATGGAAACAAAGCTCCAGACACACACAAACACCAGCAGGCATTTGGTAAAAGCTGCCAAACTTTGTCTGGCTTCTGTTTACAAGACGGCTAGTTGGAGTGTGACGTGTGTGTGTGTGTGTGTGTGTGTGTGTGTGTGTGTTTGTGTCAGATTGGAGAGATTTTTTTCATTCAACCTTTATTTAGACGGGTTAATCCCATTGAGCCTCGATGACTCATTTACAAGAGAGACCTGAAATTGACACATACACATACAAGCCAGATTCCAAAAAAGTTGGGACACTAAACAAATTGTGAATAAAAACTGAATGCAATGATGTGGAGGTGCCAACATCTAATATTTTATTCAGAATAAAACACAAATCACAGATCAAAAGTTTAAACTGAGAGAATGTATCATTTTAAGGGAAAAATCTGTTGTCCCAACTTTTTGGGGATTTGTTGACGTCATGAAATTTGGAAACAAGTCCATTTTTACCACTGTGTGGCATCCCCCCTTCTTCTTACAACACTCAACAGACGTCTGGGGACAGAGGAGACCAGTTTCTCAAGTTTAGAAATAGGAATGCTCTCCCATTCATGTCTAATACAGGCCTCTAACTATTCAATCTTCTTGGGCCTTCTTTGTCGCACCTTCCTCTTTATGATGTGCCAAATGTTCTCTATAGGTGAAAGATCTGGACTGTAGGCTGGCCATTTCAGTACCCGGATCCTTCTCCTACGTAGCCATGATGTTGTGATTGCTGCAGAATGTGGTCTGGCATTATCGTGTTGAAAAATGCAGGGTCTTCCCTGAAAGAGATGACGTCTAGATGGGAGCATATGTTGTTCTAGAACCTGAACATAGTTCTCTGCATTAATGGTGCCTTTCCAGACATGCAAGCTGCCCATGCCACAAGCGCTCATGCAACCCCATACCATCAGTGATGCAGGCTTCTGAACGAAGCATTGATAACAACTTGGGCTATCCTTGTCCTCTCTGGTCTGGATGACATGGCGTCCCAGTGTTCCATAAAGAACTTCAAATCGTGACTCATCTGACCACAGAACAGTCTTCCATTTTGCCACACTCCATTTTAAATTACCCCTGGCCCAGTGCAAACGTCTGAGCTTGTGGAGCTTGCTTAGAAATAGCTTCCTCTTTGCACTGTAGAGTTTCAGCTGGCAACGGCGGATGGCACGGTGGATTGTGTTCACTGACAATGCTTTCTGGAAGTATTCCTGAACCCATTCTGTTATTTCCTTGACAGTGGCATTCCTGTTTGAGGTGCAGTGACGTTTAAGGGCCCGGAGATCACGAGAATCCAGTAGAGTTTTACGGCATTGACCCTTACGCACAGCGATTTGTTCCAGATTCTCTGAATCTTTTGATGATGTTATGCATGGTTGATGATGATAACTTAAAACCATTTGCTATTTTACGCTGGGTAACACCATTCTGGTATTGCTGCACTATCTTTCTGTGCAACAATGGTGGAATTGGTGATTCTCTTACCATCTTGACTTCTGAGAGACACTGACACTCTGAGAAGCTCTTTTTATACCCAATCATGTTGTCAATTGACCTAATTGGAGTTAATTGGTCTTCCAGCTGTTCGTTATATGCTCAATTTCCTTTTTCCAGCCACTTATTGCTACTTGTCCCAACTTTTTTGGGATTTGTTGACACTGAAATTTTGAATCAACATATTTTTCCTTTAAAATGTTACATTGCCTCAGATTAAACTTTTGATCTGTCATCTATGTTATATTACGAATAAAATATTGACATTTGTCATCTCCACATCATTGCATTCTGTTTTTATTCACAATTTGTTTAGTGTCCCAACTTTTTTGGAATCCGGTTTGTAAATTATCGTTGATTAACAAATCGTATATGGGTCTTTTTAGAATGTTGTGTCATCTCTATTTTGTTTTCTCCAGTTTTACCTGAACCAGAGGTGGGCCACGTGACCTCACCCTCCGGAGTCACAGAGGCGAACTGCACCACTCAGTCGCGGCCTGCGGCGCACGTCACGTGGGACACCGGCGGTGACAACCGAACGCTCGGACCGCCCATCTTGTCTCTGTACGAGCAGGGCGACGGCACGACGATCGTGACGAGCACGCTGCTCTTTCAGTCAGGGCTGCTCAGTGAACAGTCGGTCAAGTGCGTCGTGCGACACCAGGGTTTGGAGAAAACCCTCACACTTCCCCTCAACTCAGACGGTGAATGTTCAGAAAACGCTGCCAAATCGCCCTCAATTGGGAAAGTCTTAGAGATGCAGGAGGATAGATGCTGTTGTGTGTTTTCTTTTTTTAGTCAGGAGTTATTGTTTCTTCTGAAAGGCAAAGACAAACAGTAGTACAGTAGTCCCTCGTTTATTGCGAGGGTTTGGTTCCGAATCCCCCCCCGCAGTAACGCTCTTGCAATGTTCTAAACTCTTAAATCTATTAATTTTAACAACATACGTATATGTACTGTACTGTAGCTACTACAGAATTTTATATGGGAACTTACTAGCCTTGGTCCAGTTCTGATCAGCTCTCTGCATCCACTGAACTCTAAAGTCACTATGAATAAGGACCAAACTTTTTAGTCCGGATCGGATCAAAACTTTCCCACCGTTTCGGCAAAAAGCAGCAGGCTGGAAGCACTGTTGAGTTCTGGGAAGTGCGTTGTTGCCTAGTTCTTTTGGACTGGTGATACTATGTAGGCTTATTGAAAGAAAACTACAAAATGGCGGCACGTGGCCCGCAGCTGCCAGTTGAATAGCCCTACCCTAGACAGATTTTAACAGACAGAAACTTTTAGAATGATCTACAACTGGTTAATGTTTGGAGATGAACTGATTCAAGATGTCTGACCTTGAAAAACACAAATATGGCTATAACTCTAACAATCACTGATAATGATCTATAATTTGTTGCGTCAGCTATGAGATGATCTTAGTCTAAAGTTTTGACATGAAAGACGGTGTGTGATATGCATTCTTCAAGAAATATTTTGTTTTTAATTATGGCTGCTTTGATTGGATCCTGAATCCTGTAATGGTACATCTTACCAGAAGAATTACTACAGTGCTGCATGTTTTGTCCATATGTAAGACATTTTACACTCAGTTTATTTTTAAACATAAATAGACTTACAGAGGATGTGTGTGTGTTTTTGTGCTGCAGCGCGTCCAGCCATAATTATCCTCATCTCGGTGTGCAGTGTGGCTTTGGTCCTCCTCCTGTGTCTGTGTGTGTGTCTCTGCAAGTCCTTCATCTGTTCTGATGGTAAGTCTGTGGTCCGTGTCACCGCGTTTACTTCTTTCTGTGTGCATTCAGAAAAAAAACATGTCTGTGGCAGCTGGTCTCGGTGAGTTTGATTTCCCAGAGGTATTTTAGGAAGCAAAGTTGGGAATACATAGTTTATAATAAACTAGAGAAGTTGCATTTCCTGCAAAAATGCAGTGTGAATGCTTATTGCTCAAGAATTTGCAGAAAAAGAGCTGAAATAAGCTAAAAAACCTGAAGTTGGCAAAGAGTAGCTGAAAAGGCAGAAGTTTAAACTAGCAGAAAAAGCTGAAAGTAGCAGCAATTACCACAAAACACTTGAATTTATCTGAAAACTGCTGAAGTTGGCTAAGAAATGCTAAAAAGGTAGCTAAAAATTAGAATAAGCTTAAAGTAGCCAAAGAAAGTAGAAAGAACGCAATTTGTCCAATTATGCTGAAAGAAGCCGAAATGAGCACAAAAAAAGAAAGGAAGAAAAAGAAATTTGCTATAAAACAAACAGCTGAATAGTAGCTAAAAAAGCATAAATCAGCTCAAATTACCAAAAATGAAGTGGAGCGAGCACAACTGTGCAGAAATTAGTGCAAAAAAGTGGACGATATCTGGAAAAAGCTGAAATTTGCAACAAAAAAAACAAACGGCTAAATAATAGCTAAAGTAGTAGAAAGAAACGTAAATTACCAAAAGGAAGTGGAGAGAGCACATTTTTGCCTAATTAGGCTGAAAGTAGCCGAAGTGAGTTCAAAAAAGTGGTAATTATCTGAAAAAAAAATCTGAATTAGCAGAAAACCAGCTGAATAGTAGCTAAAAAGCAAAAAGAAGCCTAAATTACCAGAGAGAAGTCAATAGAGCATATTTATGCTGAAAAAGGTTGAACAACGTTGAAATGAGTGCAAAAAATGTGAAACTAGCTGAAAAAGCTCAAATTAGCATACAACAGCTAAATAGTAACTGAAATAGCAGAAAAAGCTGAAACTTGCAGAATTTGGCAGCAAGAAGTTACAAGAAGCACAAAAATGTTTTAGTTGGTAGAAAGAATCTGAACGGAGCACAAAACAGCTGAAATTAGCCGAAAATAGCTGATTTTTTTTTTAATTGCACAAGGAAGCTGAAAGAAGCTGAAGCAGAACAAAATGTGAAAGGAGCAGTAAAAGGTTGTAAGCACATCTAAAGATTTGAAGGATGTAAAATGAGCTCAGTTCATTTCCTATGAGGAAGAAAATGGCAGAAAAGGCTAAATATTTCAAAAAGCTAAAGTTGTACAAATACCAACAGCCATAGCAGGATTGTCCTGAAAGAGCTGAATGTTTTGATAGATGATTTGTTGAAATGGCACAAAAATTGTGGAACAAGAAAGATCCTGAAAAATGTACGGAAGAAGTAAAGAACCCAGAATAACAACTATAAACAGGACTGTAATAGTGCAAGCATTCACACACAAAGCTCAAGTCCAAGCTATGACTTATCCTTTTTACCACCATCAGTCCCACTTTCAGTATTCCTGCAGCAAAGGAAAACGTGGAAGAAGAAAATAACTACTTTAATTTGGAGCAGTTCTGTTGCATTTCAGCAGAAGACCGAGTTTATTCTGGGAAGCTCTTGTAAGTGCCGGTGTAAATTTAGGAATTAAGCCACAACTAAAAGTACCACTGAGCATTTTAAAATTATACGTTCACATAACTTTTTTAAAACCTCAGGTATTTCTTTATTACTGTGTTCCTGTCAAGGGAGGAACGTATCCAGTTGATTTTAAAGTGTATTGTTTCTCTTGTGGCCAGTTGTGTCGGCCAACTTTTAAATGACTGTCATTGTGACAGAGATGAAGTGTTCTCGTTTCGTCTGGTTACAAACAGAGTCCATAAAATCCCACACTGTTTTCTGACTCACCAACCCAAGAATTGCAATGGCAAGACCAAACATTGTCCTTTTTTTTTTCTTTTTTTTTTTTAAATCGCATCGCGATAGACGGCTTTTCTCAGTTTACACATATCCTAGGAGAAATTTAATAAGTCAGCCTGCTTCGAGGCCAAACGGGGAAGTTGGATTCAGATAAGCCACATTTGTTGATTTTCAGGCAGACTGTTGTTTCTCTTCAGCCTTGAGTTCTGCTGGTATTTTTTTTTATCCAAAATGGTCAAATTTGTGAGCATTCCACTGGTCTGTGCTTATGAGCCCCCTCCAAGGTCATTCCCAACATGCTGGCGAGTCCCAGAAGCCGTAAGTGGCCTGCGATTCTCCCAAATCGCTTTCATCTTACGGTTTAGCTTGTAAATCAGCTGATTTGAGTACTCGACGCACGAACCAAACCTGCAGACAGGGCCGGCAGCTTTGCCATGGCTGAAACTGCTGCCGCCATCTTCTTTTATAGCCGATAACATAGGTATCTGCTGGTGCCAAAAAAAGCAGAAACCCTGCTATCATGATTCCAATATCTTTGGCGTCCTCCTTTTGGCATGAGGGTTCTCCAGGACCCTGTTACTTTTTTGAAAAAATTATCGATTGCATTGAAAGTCCAGCTGACCAAATCCATGATGTGTAAATAGGAGCTCCGATACACAAGACAGAGAGCAAAAAAAGCAGGGGGAGGATGGAAAAGGGAAGAAATGCGTCCGTCTTGCACAATAGCACGGGTGAGAAAAAAAAATATATAAAAATGAGTTTTTAATCAAAGCAACTGGACTCTTTTTGTTGTTTGTTGAAGACGATTCACTAATTATCAAAGGAGCTTTCTCAGTATATTAATCACACATTACTGTGGGGTGGACACAACTTTCATTTGGCTTCCCGTGGCTCATAAGTGTCGAATGCCCTTTTTAACATCAGATATATTAGGCTACTATTATTAGATTATGGTTTTATAATGACAATTCTTGTGTTCAGTGTTATTAGTGAAAATTTGATGCCTTTTTAAGGACGTCTGGATAAACAGATTGTAAACTTTATAAAAGTAGCTTGTGTAGAAGGGGTACTAGTATATCCTATATGATACTATATAAGGGGCGGCTGTAGCTGAGTGGTTAGAACAGTGTAATCTAGTGCAAGAGTTGGGGGTTCGATTCCACCAGCAGTCACATGCCAAAGCGTCCCTGGGCGAGACACTGAACCTCTCATTGCCTCCGATGTGTGTCCCATTGGTGTATGAATGTGATGAAGCTCTGATTATTCTTTGTAAAGATCTAGTAGAGTGCTGTATGAATGGGTAAATGAGGCACAGATTGTAGTGTAAAGGGCTTTGAGTATCTCAGTAAGATAGAAAAGTGCTATATAAGTACAATCCATTTACCATTTACTAGCTTAATAAATTAAATATCAAGGATTTATGAGGAAATGTACTGGTGAAGGTCATCTTGCAGCTACTTCCCACCCTCAGCTGACAAACTACTTACGTGTGTCATTAACACTCTTGATCCCTGTTAACACCTTTCCTTTTTGGCGCCATGCTAGCAGTGTTGTGCCAGCGTAAAGTGGTAAGTGTACCACTGCCCACTCCTCTTTTATTATAAATCTGCAGAGAGAGAAGAGGCTGGAAATAAAACTTGGAACAGAAGTGTTGGCTGCAGCTGATGTCTTTTCGGCCAAGCTGAAGTTGCAGAGGAAAAACAAAACTAAAGAATAGATGTCGAGGTCAGGATGACCAAACGGCAGCTCTTAATTAGTCAATGTCCATCTTATTATTTTATCCCTATTAGAAACCGAACAATGATTAGTTTCCTTTTCCTTCAGCTACTCTGTCATCGTTTCCCTGTAATATAAAAGCAGGAAGGACTTGCTCGCATTTTCCTAGTTTTCTTTAAGAAACTCATTAGTGCACGGCCTTTAGTCTTGATTTTCCAACTGTTTAACTAAGTCATACTGTTGATTTCAAAGTGTATTTTTGCCAGAGATGGCCTTAGAAGACTAATAATGCTGAAGAAGAGTAAAGCTACTTTTCACTTGAGACTTTCCACATGTCTTGGAGTTACCTTATTTTCCAACTCTGTGGCTCCTGAGCAGAATGTTAAGTGGATGTGTTGATTGTCTGGAGTTAACGGGCAGAAGAAAGACCCTCTTTTTCAGTCTAATCCCTCAGACTAAAGGCATGGACGGGGAAATGTTGATGAGTGTGATGTTGAACGCCTGCCCAGTTGATAACAAGGCCCCCCTCTCACGCTCGACAGTACAAACATAGACCCAGTGCCGGTTTGCCAGGGATGTGCCGAGAACACAGGCGTTTACAGTGACGTGACGCAGACTGTCCGTCAGGAGAAATGAGGGAAGTCTTTATGTAGGCTAATCACTTTACACACAGGATGGGAGCTTGTAGAGGTCCTTCCATGTTTTATTGTTAAGAACTCTGTAGGTGTAGATGCTGTTTTTTATTGTGTGAACGCTCATGTACGTTTTTCAGCGTCTTTCTCATTCCACAATTTTTGAGAGAGTTCAACAAATCCTATATCAAAACATTCAGCTCGTTCAGGAGAAGGGTGCTATGACTTTTGGTATTGGTACAACTTTAGCTTTTTGAAATATTTAGCCTTTTCTGCCACTTTTTTTCCACATAGAAAATGAATTGAGCTCATTTTACTTCCTTCAAATCTTTAGATCTGTTTACAACCTTTTACTGCTCCTTTCACATTTTGTTCTGCTTCAGCTTCTTTCTGCCAATTTCAGCTGTTTTGTGCTTCGTTCAGAGTATTCACTCTAACTACAACATTTTCATGCTTCTTCCAAATTCTTTCTGCTAGTTTCAGCTTTTTAAGCCTTTTTATGCAAGTTTTAGCTACTATTTGGCTGTTTTTGAGGGAATTTTTAGCTTTTTCAGCTAATTCCAAATTTTTTGCACTCATTTCAACTTTTTTCAGACTAATTCAGCAACACTGTGCTTGCTTTACTTCCTTCTGGTAATTTAACATTCTTTCTGCTTTTTTAAGCTACTATTCAGCTGTTGTTTTTCAAATTTGTCTTTTTTTTTTCAGATAATTTCCACTTTTTGTGCTCATTTCTGCTTCTTTAAGCCTAAT